ATTTATTTTGAAAAAATACTATTCTTTCTGATGATGGCAATTTCCCTTACTCTCGATATTTTGCATCTGCATTTGTCAAAATACAAGCTTAGAAAAATAACTTTAATTACTTAATTCTCCCAGTAAGTAATGACAGCTTTTCTCGTCATTCCTATTATCTCAATCCAAAATCTATTATGGGTTTACTTATAAAAGTGATCTCTTAAAAACAAATTTAAGAAACAAGACATCTAAAAGAAAAGTGACTTTTTTTGGGGGGAGGGGGCGAGTAGAAACTTAACAAAATAACCACAAACCGAAATCACTTCAAAGAGCAGGCCAAAATTCTAGTGAGTGTTTAGTTACAAAATACTCATAAACTATAATTCACATTACCAATTGAACTAGCATTAAAGTATCATTTCACTAATTCCTTAGTAAATAAAAGACTAAATATAATTATAATCAATAATATATGTATTATCCTATATAAAATGTGTATATATAAAGTAATTATAAAAAATGGAGTTAAATATTTAAAATATATATTTTTAAGAGACAGTGTCTCCCTGTGTCACCCAGGCTGGAATGCAGTAGGAACATCTAGTTAGACTCCAACTCCTGGGTCCAAGTGACCCTCTAGCCTCAGGCTCCCCCAAGTAGCTATGACCACAGGCATGTGCCACCACATTCAGCCAATTTTTTTCTTTCTTTTCTTTTTTTTTTTTTTTTTTTTTGAAATACGGTCTTACTATGTTGTCCAAGCTGGTCTTGAACTTCTAGCCTCTAGCGGTCCTCCTGCCTCAGCCACCCAAAGAACTGGAATTAGAGGTGTGAGCCACTGCACCTGGCCAAAATAAAAATGTACAGTGGATTTTTTTTGTCATGAACTAAGCATATTATTTACTTTTAAAAGATCAGTATGCTACAGTTTTCTGTGGATATAAGAGCTAAGATCATGGTTAATTTTGTATTTTTTCTTTCATAAAGCAAAATCTACAGGATTTGTTTTTTTATACGATGTCACTCAAGGCTTATAAAGGCCTGACTACATACATTATTAAAAATCCACATTTTCCATCTCAAACAATAATGAAAACATTTTTACACGTATTACATTCTGCTATGTATCAAATGTTATTGATGAACAAAAAGTTTGGTAAAACGTAAATCTAAGAAAAAGCTGAGTTCTAATTTCAGCTCTACTGTTTACCAAATGATTGGTCTTTGTTCAGTTATATATTTCTCAAATTTTTCTGACCTTACATTCAAAATTAGATTAGCAAGATAATCAGCATATAATATAGAAGTCACCCAGTAAATACAGTTCAATATAACAGCTTAATAATGGACCAACTGACTATACTCCACTTTCAAAATAAATTTAAAAATCTTTAAGTTTCAGCTTTTTAAATTGCCTTGAAATCCATTTCAACTGTAATACCTATAAACAAAAGTCAGTCTCATTTTCAAACATCAAATCTTGGAGAGAGACACGCAGACAGAAATATAGATAGATATTTTTGATAGCATCCAATAAGAGCACTACAGACATCCTGATATAAGTACATTCTTATGTTCTATTTGCAAGAAGGTAAAGTGTTTTGGGAAAAATAAACAAAAATAATTTCTATTTTTATATTTTAATCCAATTTTTTAAAATGTCTCACGTCAGTACTCCGATCCACAAAGACCTTCCTGAAATTCTGAGTTTTTACTTCTCAGGTTTGGTTAGAATTCTTAGCACTTTTCTCTTGATTGGAGAACACCTTGCAAATCAGTGGCTCTAAATGAATATTCTTATGTTACTATTGTTCAGAATGATCATTTTCAGATGTTTGCATTTTACAAGTAATTTTTGATCTATTATTCGTAATAAATAAAGCTCTAGAACTTATAAACCATTTGCACAGATAAGTCTACCATAGTTAATAAAATTTAAGTGTTTTGTTTCCTTTTTAAGATCCTTTAGTTGGTTTTATAGACAAATATTAGTGAGCATCCACTATGTCAGGACAAGTTTAAATTAAATATATTAAACAGCCAAGGACTTAATGATACACACTTGGCTTATTCCAATGGGAAGCTGAACACTTAAGCTGGTATGGATCAGTTATGCCACTTAAAACCAGTCAAGTAAATAGAGTTCATAGAAAGAGTCTACAGGGGAAAGAGAAGAGATTTCAGTATTTCTGAAGTCATGCTCTAGATAACAGTCTCAAACAAAGGAAAACTAAGAGAATTTGTCATCAGTAGATCTGACGTAAAAGAACCAATAAAAGAAGCCTTTTAGACACAAGAGAAATTAGAGCAGAAATAGACTTAAAAGATCAAGGTGAAGCAAGCACAATGGAAACGTTATTTACCGAGCACCCTTAGCTCCATAATAAATTTTGAGGGGACAATAAAAACAATAATAACATAAACATCATCAACAAAAAAAAGGAAGAAAAAATATGGTATCTATACCTTAGATATTATAAACTGTGTTGTCAAACCAAGGTTAGTACAGTCAGCCCTTCCTATCTGTGAATCCACATCAACGAAGTCATCCAACCACAGATAAAAAATATTTGGGGGGGTGGGATGCGGAACTTGGATCTGTACTGAACATGTGCAGATTTTTTATTCTTGAAATTATTCCCTAAACAATACAGTATAAGAACAACTTACAGAACATTTAAGTTGTACTAGGTATTATAAGCAATCTAGAGATAATACATAAATTATAGAAAAATATTATGCCATTTTATATCAGGGACTTAAGAATCCATATACTTTGGTATGTGCAGTAGGTCCTGGAATCAATATCCCACAGATACGAAGGGAAGATTGTATATAAAATAATTAATGTCCAATCCAGGCAGGGAAATGGCATGTGATACATAGTACCTAGCTGATGTTTCCTACATGCAGGACAAACATTCATAATCAATGACAACTCTCTTTCCAACTGAGGCCAGGTGTAACTCAATGCCTTGCTCAACAAATTGTTCCAAGGAGTCATGGCCAGTTGCCTGGATTTAGCAAGTGAGATGCAACCTATTCACCATCACCCCCCACTTCAACCCATGCTCTTGACCTTGTTCAAGAAAAGTTCATAAAAAGGAAAAATGGCCAGATGTGTAAGAGTGGTTGGAAACGATTTCAAAGAGGGTAATTTTAGCTAAATCCTGAAGGATTGACTGTGTTTGGGCAGACTAAGTACATAGAATAGAGGAGGCAGGAAGAGTGAGCTCAAAAGTCCAGTATGACCTGGCAGAGTTCAAGTAGAGAGTGCCCAACCCAGGGAAGATGTATTAAAAGGTCATACAACTTTAATTAATTTAAAATAATTTTTATAATGTAAGTTTTTAGGTCCATCACATACAGTTGTGCATGTTGTTCAATATGAAAAAAGAAAAAAAATCAAGGGGGCAAGTGGAAGCTAAAAGTTATATACCTCGGCCAAACTGTATATCCTGGTATACACCCACAGGAAAGAGGGACACCTTGCATAATATGCACAAAGACGCCATATGGCTACAAGTAACCCTGCAAATAATAAATGCTTATTGTAGAGAAATTCAAAATCACATCTGGTTCTAATGAAGAAAAAATAAAAGTCACCTGAAATCCCACTAGCCAAAGATAATAGCTTCAATATGTCCTTGTTTTTTCCTCCAGACATTCTTATGAATATACACAAATACAATTATTTTTCTTATAAAAATGGGACCATGGTTGATTTGTTATATAGCTTAATTTTTTTCACTACTTTACTATATATTGTAAACAGCTTCTCAGGTGTCAATAATATACTTGCATATAATATTTGAATGCCTGTATACTATTCTGCATATAGATGTACAATAAGTTAACTTATCCCTTATATTTGGAAATATAGGTTCTTTCTGATTCATCCTTATAAATAAAACGGGTATCAAAAAGAATAATCATTAGATTTAAAAATCATTGATGATTTTATGTAATGTTTATTTCACTTGGAGAACTGGGGTTAGATAATTTTTATAAGGAGAAATAAACCTAGCATATTTCGTCTCCACTACTTAATCATAAATAATTTAAATTCATGTATACTGTTACTTCTATATACATACAAATTTTATTTAAGTATCAGTTAAATTCACATTATAATTACAAATAATCTAAATTTAAGTACAATTTTAAAACACAATTTCTACTTTCAAAAATTCTACTATAAAATTATGTCCCAATAATTTAAAAAAAGCAATATATGCCCATATGTAATACAGTCAACAATCCCAATAGAAGGCAATAAATATATCCTATTTTGTCTTTAGCTGTTAAAATTCAGGGAAAAGTACAACATGTATATATTTTTCCTGAAAATGGCAAAGTTTGAATAACTCAGATTGATTATTCAGGTCTTCAATTATTAAAGCCTTCTGATGATTTTCTCTTCTTTCTGTTGTTCTATTTAACTTCCGTTCTCCTATTTAACTCAGCAGGAAACTGAAAACTAAGGTGTAATTTTAATCAGGTAAGCATCTAATAGTACTAGGAAATAATAATGAAAAGTCTTTCCTTGCTTAATGAATCAAACTCCTTAGCCTAGAATTCAAGATTCTTGCTCAAGTCAAATGGTTTGCCATTTCCTAAAGACCTCTTTGCACTTCCTAGCACTTAAATTTTCACAGCATTTGTCTAAGTGAAACTGACCTTCTCAGAGATTCCACCTGTGAGGAAATACTGAACAGTGTGCCAGGGGCTGTAACAAGCACTTTACATAGTCTGCTCATTTAATACTTATAATTTTATCATGAAGAGATACAATTATTATACCTATTTCATATATGAGATAAATGAGGCTCAGAGAAATTAAGTAGCTTACACTACACTGCTCAGCTAGGAACCAGAATTCAATTCTGGTTTAGTCAAAGGAGAATTTTGACTAAAATTTAGTAAAGGGAGAATTTATTACTGTCAACTCTTAAAAAACAATAACCTCAACAATAAAACAAGATTTTATAATATTCTTCTACTCCTTAATTGGAAACATGATTACGGAGGAGGCAGCAAAGCAGCGGGGCTTCAAGTAAAAATAAATACTAACCCTGATTGATAGGCTACCATATACCAGGTGCTGCAACTGGTCATTTACACTTATATTCTCATTAAATTCTCACAATATTCACAAAACAAGCACTGTATAGATAGCTAACACATTTATACAGTTAGGTAAATTTTACAGTGCACAGTAAAGATCCATAAAATAAATGTAAATGCCATTTTTCACTTAGCAAACAAGCAAAGGTAAAAACAAATGATAATGTTTCCATTGCTGACAAAACTGCTGAGAATCAGGTATACTCATGCACTGCCAGTGGAGGCAGAAAATAACACAGGTTTTCTGGAGGGCAATTGGGAGAATGTATCAAAATTCTCAATAATACACATAAAGTCTTTGCCTCACAGTCAACTTCTCTAAGTTTATCCCAATGATACATTCACAAAATATTAATCACTCCATTGTATTTAATACAAAAAAAACCCCAACAACCAACCAAAAAATTGGGAACTAAATGCCCAATAATGGCAGACTGCTGAATAAAATATAACATCCATACAACAGAAAACTATATAGCCATTAACAATTATGACATAGTTATATATTTTCACGAAATGGTCTTGTGTTATAGCAAGTTGGGTTTTTTTTTTTTTTTTAAAGCACATTACAAAATGTAAGAGGTTAAGTTTTATACATCCTTGTGTACAGAGTGGTACATGTGTTTATCTAAAAAGATATAAACTAAAAAGTAAATAGTATTTGAAAGTGGGATTATGAGTGCTTTTTTTGCTCATTCTAATTGTTTGTATGTTTGCTGAAGTGTCTTCCATGAAAAAACAATTGTTAGTCCAATTTAAAAAGAACTTTTAAAAAAATCCTGGGTCTACATTCAGCTCACATTTTTCCTGCTATCTATATAATCATAAATTTTTATGTACATGCCTTTTACCTCTAGTGTTCACTTTAAAGACCTTGTCTACATTTTTGTTCACCTTTATACCATCTACATCATTTAATACAAATAGAATCTTCCTAATTTTAGTATGTGATTATCTAAGATATAGATGAATTCAACTTAGAGATGGAGAATGTGAACTCGAAATAGAGATAATGAACATAGTAATGGTCGCAATGCACGAGACAAACAGAAATGGTGAACTCTTCAATAATGTATCCCCACTTTGTCTATGTTAGTTTTGGCTCCTATCACTAACCATCAAAAGTCCTCCAATACCCTTCTCCCTAACATCAGTGTCTTCATACCCCAAGTTCATGTCATTGCCTGCTTTATAATCTACCTTGCCTGGCTAACAATTTTCTGCCAATATGTAACTCTTCTCAAATCAATTCATTATCACCTCCAAAATTTTGCTTATGCATTCACTACCTAAAACAATATTCTCCTCCTCTCAAAATCTCCAAATTCTTATATTTATTGTACAAGAACCAATTAAACTCCCATCATTCCTATGTTCATAATAATTTCTTAAATCTCTAAACTTACAGTCCTTCCTGACATTTAGTGGGTAAGTGCTAGGATCTTTGCAAATGTCCCAAGTTGAAAATGCACAATGCATGTAAAGTGCTCAGCACACTGCACTTAGCAAGTATTACTAATTATTGTTGACATCACCATTACTACACAGACCTTTGACGAGGAATGCGCAATATATTTACATCAGAAGAAAACAAAGCCACTGTGAGAACAGTGCTGAGCAGTTAGCAGGCCTTATTCATTGGCTAAGTCATGACTCCACCACAGCATCCTCTCAGAACATAGGCTTTAAGTCATGCCACACAAAAATTATACGTTCTCACATACAACAGGCCACATCATTTTGAATAGGCAGAATATTAAATCTGTGGATACCAAGGTCAACTGCATTGCCCTTATAAAAAAACTCCCCATAGTCTGGCACTTAATCATCAGTAATTATTTTATGTGGCTTCTATGTAGGTATCCATTTCCCAAGTTAATTATTTGCTTAGGTAAACCTGGTTTGTTACCGCATGAAGTTTTTTGATAAGCATAGACAGGGCTTGGGGTGGGGAGGTTTGTATGGCTGAGTCATTGGAGGCATCTCCCTCCAGAAAACCGCAAAGCACTGGCTGTGTACCAAGTTCAGGAGAAGGAGGGTAGCTTTCTTCCATGAGGCCAGCCAGGCAAAACCCTGTAATTGCCAATGGTTAGGTCTGATTGGTCACACATAGAATTTTGGCCTGGAACCAGTTTCCTTAGATATCATCTTACTTATCTGCTTCCCTTCAGTTCAACTTTTTGAAAGAGAAAACTACACACACACTCTATCTCCCCTTTCCTACCTCCTACCATATCCAAAAATTAACTCTTGGCTAAAGTTATCAGTGGTTCCCCCATGTTACCAAATCCAAAGTCTACTTTATCATCCTTTTCTTTATACCATACTTAGAATCATTTGATACTGTCTAACATTCATATTCATGTTGATATGCCCATGCTGAGCTCATGTTCAACACTTCATAGCCTTTCCTCACTTGTCTTATATAATATCATTCAGGTTTTCTACATCTTCTAAAAAAAAAAAAAATGGCTATTCAAGACTCTTGTAGTTTCATGCTCTTCTCTCTAGCCACCAAAGGTAAGAGCTCCCCAAGGATCAGTCCTGGGCCCTAATCTTGTGCTATACTTTCTTCTTACTCCATCTCACATCACCCTCACACACAGCATTAATAGCAACCTAGATGTGGAAAAAAATGCATATCATTCATAAGCTCCAGATTCATTAATCCTGTTGTCTATTTGACATCTCTATTTGGGTATCAAAAAAAAAAAAAAAAAAGCTTATGCTCAATAGATCCAAAACTAAATTCTTGTGTTCCTCCTTCAAAACTGATCCTTTTCAGTATTTCCTATTTCAGAAAGGGATCGTATCATTCATCCTTTTGCTCAGTCAACCACTTCACTTTCTTCTCTTTCCCCCTATAAATACAATCTATCTTAGTCCTATTGATTCCACCTCTTAAATAACCATAAAAACTATCTTTATTTGTATCAACTGCCACCACCCTAATTCAACTGCCATGACTTCCAACCTAATCTTTCTTAATTGTGTCATAGCTATTTTCCCCACTTTGACTGTTGTTTCAATCTCATCTGCCTATCACAAAACAGCCAGTCTAATCTTATAAAAATGAATCACTTCATTCTCAAGCTCAAAACCCCTTAATTCCTTTTCACTGGAGTCATCATGATTTGCCCCCACCACACAAACATAAACCTTATTTATTAATTCAACAACTATTGCTGCGCACTATCTCTGGGCAAGATTCTGTGATGGGTATTGTGGATACAATTACAAACAACATAGACTAGGTCATGTGGAGCTTAAAGACAGGTATAAAAACCATTGCACAAATATATAATTAGTAGCTAATCATTAGTTACTAATAGTTTAATTAATTAGTAAATATGTGACATGAAAAATATTTCAGAAGTTAATAGAGGGACTTATAAGATAAAATGAAAGGAAAACAAGTATTGGTTTAGAAGGTCAAGGAATTCTTCCCTCATTTTATTCTACTGTCATGCTCGCTCATTATAGCCTTCTTCTTCAGTGTATTTGTCACGCTTTTCAAGCTATTCAGATTTTTTAAGAATCTGAATACCATTCCAAATTCGGTGAGCTTTGAATCCAAAGTATTCCAAATATAGGAAGACAGGAATTATACTAGGAACTCTGAATAAAGAGTTAAAGACAAAAATAAAAATATTATTCTAGGTGATAGTGGCAACAGGGCTTAAGTCCAGTGGCAGCAATATCAGAGGTGGTGGTGGTGCCAGTGCCTGTAAACTACCCATACTGGTTCCACGGCACACACAAGCAGTAACACCAGCTGCAAGTCTTCTTTTCCTGTCAATTTTCACAACCTGGTTTTCCAGAGTTTCCACTGATTACATAAGCTACCCAACAGTTCTACATAATCTATGTTTATTTATTTACTTGCAATCTTTCCTAATAGAATATAAGCTCAATAAGCACAACTTACATCTAGGAAGGAGGAAGTGGCATGTGGGAAGTCTTAGAGGCTTGAAATAGTGCTGTATATAAGAAAGACTTTTGTTTTTTTCTAGTTCACATAAAGTGACAATACAAATGAAGATTCTTCTAGGAATTATTTTCTCACAACAAATGATTTTATATCTGCCTGCATAAAATAAAAAAACAACCTATATTCAATTCACGGATAGTTTTCACCAAATTTTAGTAATATTTAAAGGCCAATAGAGAATTTAAAAGTACACTATCTTATTCTATTAACCTGAAAGTACAAATTGGGGATCAGCAAACTATGGTCCATAGACCAAATCCAGCCTGTTACCTATTTTTGTACAGCACATGAGTCAAAATAGTTTTTGCATTCTTAAATGGCTCAGAAAAAATTAAAAGAATAATATTTTGTGACACATGAATATTACTGAAATTGAAATATCACTGTCAATATATAAAGTTTTGTTGGGACACAGCCACACTCATTCTTTTATGTATTTCTATGACTGCTTCAAGCTATTAACAATAGCTGAGGAGCCGCAACAGAAATCATGGATGGTACTCTCATTAGTTTGCACTGCTGCTCAGGACACAAAAAACTCACAGTAACATAGCATAACTAATAGGAGTTTTGAGGGCCTTAAGAATTGCTGTAATGTGACATTTAATTTTTAATACCAGTGTATGACAATCATATAAAAATGAGAAAAGAATAGAAAAGGAGCCTTCAAATGTCATTTTTAAGGCACAGTGAAGTTTGGACTATTTTAACAAATTAAATGGCAATTCATTGTGGTTATTATACAATGGCGATATAGCTGTGCTGAAAAAATAGCATATATGTTGATTTTTTTTAAATAGCATATACTTGACTAAACTCTCTTTACAGTCTTTTCGAGACACAGGAAAGCAATGGTTAAAAAAATTAGAATATTTAAAATGGAATATCTCATCACAGCAGAATTTCTTCACAAAAGTAAAAAAATAAAAATGAGTTTCTGAGTGGTACATTTGTCAACCAACCAATGAAAGCAATTTACCAAAGATGACTTAGTGTTTAACTGCAAACAAACAAGAGTATCTAGAGAAAATAAACTTGCTTAAAAGCATTAGCCATTCAGCAAGCACGGCTGCTCAAAATGTTGAAGACACAGAGAATATCATCAATATGTCCAATGAAGAGATAAGGCAAATGAGTCCAAGTGGTTTTGCTTGGCTCTTCATGAGTCCACAGATGTCAGAGATTCTGCTCACCTGTTTATTTGAGGAGTCAATGCTGAATGTGGAATGACTTAAGAATTAGCCTCTAGGAATTTTATGCATAGAACATGATAATATTTTCAATAAAATTGAGCAAACACTCATTCAGTGCAATCTGATGTGGAATCTGCTAAGATGTGTTACATATCATGGCAGTTAACAATAGAGAGTGGAAAGGGGCTTAGTTGGACAACGCTACAAAGCTTGTAGAATGTTAAGTCTGTGAAAATTTAAAACCTACAGTTATTTGCTGCATTATTCGTCAGCAAATACTTTGTAAAAATATCTGAATGTAAAATGTGGTATACAACTAGTAGTGTCAACAGTGAACCTCACTTGCTCTTGTAGACTTGTCCATTGTTGGTTGTATGATATTTTTTGACAGAAATAGACACTGAATATCCTGATTACTCTAACACATGGCAGCTGTTCGATGTCTTAACAGTGGTAAAGTCTAATTGTGATGTTTCACATTAAGAATCAACGCTGAAATTTTTCTGGCTGAGGAGACTTTTATCCTAAACCACTTTTAGCTTTAGCAGTAGACATAATAATGTTCCTTAGCTGGGCAAAGGAACATTACATGCCTGTAATCCCAACTGGATTACGTGGGAGCTGAGTGAGAGGACTGCTTCAGTTCAAGAGTTCCAAATGCTGCAGTGAGCCATAATCCTGCCACTGCACATAAGCCTGGCAACAGAGTGAGACCCTGTCTTTATTTTATTTATTTATTTATTTATTTATTTATTTATTGAGACCCTGTCTTTAAAACAAAAAATTAGAAAGTAAAAATAAAAATGTTTCTTAATGAGCTCAACCTAAAATTACAAGGCAAAATGGTGGTTATATGCAAAATTCATACCACAGTAAAGCCGCTGCAGTAATAACTGATGTTGCCGGAATCACAAAGTAAGGTCAAGCTGCTTTATATACCTCCCATGCCATCAAAAGTTAAAAGAAGATATTCATTCCAACACATATTTCAAGGAGTTTTGTTTTTTTGTTTGTTTTTTGAGACAGAGTTTCACTCTTGTTACCCAGGCTGGAGTGCAATGGCGCGATCTTAGCTCACTGCAACCTCCGCCTCCTGGGTTCAACCAATTCTCCTGCCTCAGCCTCCCAAGTAGCTGGGACTACAGGCCTGAGCCACCATGCCCAGCTAATTTTTGTATTTACAGTAGAGACGGGGTTTCACCATGTTGACCAGGATGGTCTTGATCTCTTGACCTCGTGATCCACCCGCCTCGGCCTCCCAAAATGTGGGATTACAGGCATGAGCCACCACGCCAGGCCAACGAGTATCTTTTTTGACCTCAAATTACAGCTCCAGCAGTGTTTTTCTGCCCTTAAGGCAAATGCAAAGAAAATTTCCATGTTCCCAAATCCACTTAACTGCACAATTGAGGAGCTTCTACTTCAATTGGAATTGATTAATCTGTAATATAATACCTAAAATAAAAAAAATCAAGAAAATAATCGAACGGAATTTTATAAATGCTTTCCACGCAATGAACGTGATCACAGATTGCAATCAAATTTGGTAGTACCTATCTGTGTGAAGACATTTTCAAAGATGAAATGTTTAAAATCTCATTATAGATCGGTATGAACAGATAAATGTTTGTAATCAATTCTGGTAACAGAGAACATTAATTTAGAACCCCAAATAAGTAAAATGCTAGCTCCCAAAAAGGAATTTCATTTTTCAAATTCATGCATTTTAACTACAAAAAATTATGCTCAATAATTATGACACTTTGAATTTTATCCAAAAACTGTGGACATTTCCTCTCTTATTACAGTTTTATGTTTACAAGATATCTTCAATTTTGCCTGTTAGCACACAAACCCTAAATGTCTATAATTTAGCCCCTTGCTGAAAAAGTTTACTGATCTCTGGTCTAAATCATTTAAATTTTACTTGTGTTCAAACTATATATCTATATGAGGTTATTTTGACTTTGGGAAATGGGGGGATAGGAAGTCAAAGGCAAAAGAAAATGTGTTTTCTTCTCATTTTGATATCTGCATGATAATCACTAAGATAAATACTAATAGCATTTCAAAATCCAAAAGACAAATGACAGATATAAGTTAAGAAATAAAATGCAACAAAATACAAAGGAGAGCTGAATTTAAAAGCTGAGAACATCATCAACTTCTTCCATCTGCTTTTAGTCTGCTATCAAAAAGAGTAATATTGTATTAATTTTAGTTAATAAAAATACTGGTTGAAAAACTAGAGAATATGATTATTTTAAAAAAGAAATAAACTATAGGACCAATAAGACAAATACTAAAAGAGACAAATTTTGTCTTCCACAACATCAATTCAACTCTACAAACTGAGAGTGTGAGAAAAGTGGATAACATGAAAAAAGATAAATATTAATTATTCTATATAATGACTAACCTTGGTGCCTTTCTATCAGGTGGCAGAATGTACTTGTACTTGTACCTGTGTACAAGTACATCCAGGAGGTATGGAGGAAGAAGCAGTGTGATATCATGCGCTTTCTTCTGAGGGTCCACTGTTGGCAGTAATGCCAGCTCTCTGCTCTCCACAGGGCTTCTGCCCCACCTGGCCTGATAAAGCACGATGACTGGGCTGCAAGGTCAAGCAAGGTTACCTTACTTATAGGGTTCATATTCGTCGTGGTGGCCAAAAATGCCAAGTTCCTAAGAGTGCAACTTAAGGCAAGCCTGTCCATTATGGTGTTAACAAGCTAAAGTTTTCTCAAGCCTTCAGTCTGTTACAGAGGAGTGAGCTGGACACCATTGCGGGGCTCTGAGAGTCCTGAATTCTTACTGGGTTGGTAAAGGTTCCACATACAATTTTTTTTGAGGCTATCCTCATTGATCCATTCCATAAAACTATCAGAAGAAATTCTGATACCCAATGGATCACCAAACCAGTCCACAGGCACAGGGAGATGTGTGGGCTTGACATCTGCAGGTCAAAAGAGCCATGACCTTGGAAAGAGCCATGAGTTCCACCATTTGATTTGTGGTCCTCGCCGGGCAGCTTGGAAAAGGCACAATGCTCTCCAGCTCCACCATTATAGCTAATATAAGTAAAGCTTGTAAAATTCATACCTAATAAATAATTTAGGACAGTGAATCATGTCTGCTTACAGGTGTTATTTGTCTATTAAAACTAGTCTGCAGATTGTTTCATGAATGCTTTGTCAAATTAAGAAAGCTGAAGTGCAATAATGTTTGAAGACAATAAGTGATGGTGTATCATGTTTCTAATAAGATGAACTTTTTTGTCTTTGCTTCATCTTATTTGGGAGTTATATTTCAGTGTATAAAACATACTGTGTGGTATAATAGGTTTAAAATAAATTCTTTAAAAGAGAAGTATGGAAATTAGCCCTATAGATTTGTCTGGTGCCTGTGATAAAGCCTGCAGCTTTATTGGGGTGATGGCAATGCTCTGCTGGTTTACTTCCAAGTGGCTGGGTTAGCCTAAAGAAAATTGCCTCAATCTCCACAGTACCATTTTAAGTTCACATAGAAAGCTCCTGGCTCAGTGCCAGGGCTTCATGGCATTCAATGGTCAGTGGAAGTGGTATTTACACTGGTATGTTTTGAAATTGAATATTAGATAAAATTATTAGCCTTAAAGTTGGTAAGCTAGCAATCAGTACTAGGGTGGGAAGCTGGTGAGCCAGTGGCCATTAGATAAATACCTTTCAAGTGTGAGCTTAGAAGTCAACCTTAAAATACTTAACTGTAACACTAGTTTGTGATCATTATTAAATCCCTTCAGTCACACTAGGGGGGAAGTAGTTGGCTTTAAGTAACTCATTCTTAGTCCAGTCAGTCTTAGAAACATCTTGGGTTATCCACTCTGTCCACTCCCACAGGCTACAGAAAAAGTCATACAAGTTCACGGCTTCCAACTGTACGTGTTTTCTGCTGTTATTTCTCTTGGTCCTGGCCAAACTACCCTAAAAATCCTTTACAATTCCACATATTTGGGCCATCACTTGTGTGCCCACTTTCACTGTAAGTATACCATCACACTGCATTTCGGTTTGCATCGTGTCTTCCACAAGGTAGGCTACTGTTTTCCAGGGTAAATATGAGTGTAAAGGAAATGTAGAAAAGGAATTACCCAATTCTAAATTCTGACTTTGCTGACTTAATTTAAATGCTTGTTTCTCTGAACCAATTTTCTCCTGTCTTCTCTAGAAGTTTTAAAAGGCTCAGTGAATTGAGTTCCAGGAACTCATAGCAAGTTCATAAAAGTTCTTGAGATCTAAATTTCTTCTCAAAAAAAAAGAAAAGATCTTAAGTCATACATTTTGATTGTGTAGGGGTTGTTCAACTAAAGGACTAAATGTCTATTAAACAAACAAAAAAAAAGACTAAACTTGGCAAAATCAGAAAGAATCATTCCAGTACACTGGAGAAAAATGCCTTTTTCTTCATTAATTAAAGATAATTTAGCATAATGTTGAATAATCGGTTTTATGGGCATTGAATTTTTATAGAACAGGTTATATGAAATCCCAAACACATTCTCAGTACTTCAGCATACCCCTAAAATTCATATTTCCAAACATTAAAATATACTGTTTAAATCTCATTCATTATAGGGATACTCTTTATTATATAATATATAAACAGAATTCTTAAAATACATAAACAATATCAAATGGCTTCAATTAACACTGAAGAAGCACTCTGAATGTTTCCATTTTAAGATATAGGGTCAATATCATGTTTATGATAAAAATTTTAATATTTAAATCTGTGTAGTGTTATACTGTAAAAAACAACTATACATTTCACAAAGCTTAATACAGTCAGTTAACATGAGTCAAGCAACTACCATGAGAGAGAGCCTGAAAGAGTGAGAGTAAGAGTGAAAGAAAGAGAGAATGAATGGAATCCAAAGAAGGAATATTAGGAAATGTCCCTGCGTGCTTCTCAACTCAATCTACATATTTTCCCTTCAAGATTACTATCATGTTTTAACTCAAAGACAGTAGGCTTAGAGTAACACTTATTTAGGATGGTGATGCTCACCAAACCAATTAATCAGACCTTATAAATGCACTGACATTTTCATAAAGGTTCTCAATATATCATATCAATGTAATACATGTTCTGAATGCCTAGACTTTGTATTATAGGAAATAGACCTCATGCTAATGTTCATACTGAAAAGCCATTGTGGTAGAATGGCAGATAATTTATCTGTGAGTTCCATATTTTATTAAGATTTGTACAACAGAGGAAAATATGACTGTTTGCAGAGAAAAAAGAAAACAGACTTACATAACCTTACATTTTGAATACATAAATAACAATTAAAAAATATTTAGCCTAACTCCACAAGAAGATAAATGTGTGTGTATATATGTATGTGTAAAGACCTTTATGGATGGAAAATGTGTATGACTTAGACTAGGGTCAGGTATGTTTACTACCTTGAACATTCAATACTAAATGGAATAAGCAAGTTTTAACTATATAAACCCTGCAATAATAAAAACTATCTGAACTAATAAAACAATGTTCTAGGTTTATAAGCTATACATTAATAATGCATTAAAATTGCCATACGCCACTGAGATGATTTTTGAATATAAACAGAAGCATTATGACAGTGTGGATTAAAACCTGCATATTGATTTCCACTAATATCGGAAGATAAAAACACAAAAACTGTTCTTTTTTATTTTAACCTCACAAAATCTAGTACTCATAGCTACATAAGACAATGTCTTTAATCTTATATATACCATTTATTAGTAAAGGGGAACAATGTTTCCAATATATTCTCCTTTAGTTAAGAAAATATACATTTATAAACAATTGGAGGAGGAGAGGGAGGAAGAGATAATAAAATAAGTGGGTGGAAAATGTAAATAACTGATGAATCTACGTAAAGCATATATGGGAGTTTCTTGTACTATTCTTGAAACATCTCCAGAAGTTTGAATTTACATCAATAGTTACCAAGGGGGAAAAGATATTAAATTTAGCCAAAAGTTTCATTTTTTACTAACTACAATATTCTGTTTGCAACTATTTTCTATTTCTTGAAAGCCCATATAATCTTTCTTCTCACCCAATTTCTACTGTACTTAATCAAATTTAATTCTGGAAGAAACAATACTAGTCTTAAATTTTTTTTTGAAAAACATAAGATTAAAAACTTCTACACAAAGAATAAACTCCAAGAGAAACGATGCAAATAAAATGACTATAATAATCTTTTGTTTTTTATTTGCAAGTATAAATCGGAAGAAAAACAAAAGCCTGGAACATAGCATCTGTCATATCAGAATATAAAAAGATGATCCTGGCACAAAATGAAAAAGCTCTAATTCATTTGCAAATCAAGCCTGCCGGTTCCATTTCAAGCTGGCGGTAACTGTCAAGAGTTAACAAGATAATCACTTTCAATCCTGCCTTCAATGGTACATTACACTGTTATTCCATTCAATAAGGCCGTTCTTTGGGGCACTAGATGAATGGTTTTCATTTCTAACTCACACAAAAAGTTGTGCGGGGAAAAAAATCCACGGGGCTTAAGAAAGAAATCCCTTTATGGGCATTTATCTGCCGGTACTTGCTTTTAGGCAAAATGAGATATTTTGAAACATCAGTGTCCATTCACTTCCTCTATTCCTTTAGGCTCTTAATCCGTTGGAAAAAAGAAAATAGTTGGCATATGAGAAAAGTGCAAAAGCAGTTTCATTTTTTAAATTATCAATGCACATTTAAAAAATTATTTAAATGATTCTATGGAAATACAATGCTATTATATTCAAAAGACAATATTAACCAATCTCCTCCTTATCTCATGGTAACTCATGTCACTTTCTTAGATTACTCGCCTATATTTTGGGTAAAATGAAGGTGTTTAAAATTTCATATTTAATTCTTGGTGTGTTTATAATGACTTGTACACCTAAAAAGATTAAAATATCTTTCCAAATCATCTTTAGTTCAATGAAAATGAATTTTAGCTAGGTGTATCTTTATAATGTATTTATCAAAAAGCATTATAAAAGTTTTTACTATTTCATGATTTAACTTAATTTTACAAACAAATGTAGCTAAGATAGCTATACAATTATTTTTGCAAAAACATTGAAACTACACATTTAAAAAAACAAACATATTTTTTGCTTCATACAAAAATTTAGAGTGCAAAGACTTACATGTATCCACTAGTAATAGACAATTAGGCCATCTTTATAGTCTATGAGAGTAAAAGAATATTAAAATCTCTACCATGACTGCTCATATGGTCCTATATCCATCAAATCCAGCTAACATCAGTGTAAATTTATAAGAGCCATCTGTGTATGAATCACAATTTATTATTCAAGTCTATTTTACAATAGCAACAATTAATCTTTCCCCACCTACTCCCTCAATTCAGGAAATAATATTGCTATATATTGCCTATGTAAATCAGAATCTCCAGTGAAGACTTTTAATCCTTTTATAATCCCTTATTAGAGGAAAATATGGATTTTTAAAACTCATAGTACAAATGTCCTATGAAGGACTTAAAGTCCTTCTAAAATCATTACTTCAAAAAAAATTAGTGTATTTTATAGCCAAAGGCTTTAAGAAGTTAGAACATTCATGTTTATGACTACAAAGGCTACATGCTTAAATTTTAAAATTCGGATGATTTCATGAATTCCATATGACATGGGGATAATCCTGTTATAAAAGGGAGAAGTCCTTCTGAAGCAGCCTAAGTTCACCCAATTCTTCCAAGTTTCAGTCTGACTAGCCATTTATTATCCAAAAGGTAAAAGTTATCCCTATTCTTAAAATAAATTACAAAAGAATGGAGGAAAAAAATGTATGGGAAAATAATTCAGAAAGTTTTACATTATCAGATAGACTTGGTCACTAATATTTAAATGTTAGATTAATAATCTAAAGTTTGTCATTGCGAACAAATTATAATGAATCTGTGTACTTTAAAGTCCTTATAAAATTTAAGTTATGGCAGAAAACCAGGAAATTTAAAACATGAATGCCTATACTTAAATCTATTATATATTTTTTAAAACTTGCATGGTATTATAAGAAGACAATAATGTTCAGGAAATCTTACTATTCCAAATTTTAAACCCTTGGTACCAAACATGTTAACATACAAAGTAAACAGTAAGTATTACGGTATGCTCAATAAATTATGATGGAAATACATGACCACAATGTGTAAAACCAATCCGTGACATTACAAATTCCTAAAGAACCCTACAAACACAAAGCTAATGGCATAACACAATTCTGTTAGAGCTTAGTATTGTGAATCAGTCCCCATGCAGGGTGAGGATACTAAAGTCTCCCTATCATTGGGGTACCC